CTCTTCGTATCGGAACCGCTCTTTGATCGGCAAATAAGACAACAATAGTTGACACAAATCATCACCGAATCTGTCCATTGATTGTCTGTTATAAATAATTTCATTGTTGTCACTCATAATCACTAAATCACTTCCCGACTGAATAATCGACAGTAAATTAAACTTAATTTTTAACAATAAAACAATATTGAAAACTGTTTGCATATTTATAGCAATTCTTTAACACAAAATCAGTCATTGATATCCATGTAATGGAACCTAAATTAATCACTAATTATAATCATTGTTCAAATATATTATAAAACCACTTTGATATTTAGAGCAAATATGACCTTTTATATATCATATACTTAGACCATGATCATTATCTTTTTGATAACATGTTTATCCTTGTATTTAAAATATAATAAGTTTTAAAATGTTTAATTTTGTTTGATTTTCATTAATCATCATTCAAACAGCGAGAACTAATTCCTAAATTGATAAAATGACAATAAGTTATTGTCAATCACTTTAATTACTAATAATAATAATTAATAATTAGACAATTAATACTTAATATTAGATACTGTTCTCACTATAAAATCAAACATTAAATGAAGAATGTTGTTTATATTCATCACTCAATCACTTCTCGTGGTTATTCTTCCACTTCTAATGAGATAATAGTTGTCTTTAAATGTTTAGTAAAATATATACTTTTATTAAAACATAATAACAAAAGAAATTTTTTTGTAAAATAATCATTAATTTAACAAATTTATGAAACAATTAAATGATATAAATGTTACTATTGGTCTTAACATGTTCATTTGATTGCTTCATCTGTTTGGAATTCGAATTAATTTGCACTTGTAATAAAAATTGTTATACACTTTATAAAACTTTATTATTTAAGTTACATTTATAACTTATAAATTAATTGTGATATTAATGATATTATCAATGATATTAAATTTCTTACGGATTAACAATATAGACATATAATATGTCACATATTCAACAATTACTAAAATATTAGAAAATAATTAATCAGATATTGCTAAATTACCATGATATTGTGTATTTGGGTGGAGTTGGTAGAACAAAATGAGAAAAATTATTAATTTTGTATAAATATTTTTTATAAATACTATTAATTAATACAACTACTTATTAACACATTAAGTGAGAAAACCTTTTTACTAAGTTTACATTTTTATCTCAGGTTTTTCAATAAAACACATTCTCTCTAAAAGTAACCGACAATTTACACAACAAAATCATTCATTTGTGTGAGGGATGGACTGAATTGACCGCCGGTTTGTACAGTTGTTTTCCCGCCACGACTGCCGCTAAGGTCACGCATTTGCATACTATGGTCAGTATTAGCACATTATAAGCCATTTGCCGGTTGTCGTACACAAGACACGAACCCGTTATGTCCGCCCCGGGGGTACCGGTGGTATTGGTGGGGCTCTGGGGCTGCCATAGTATACAACTGTGGTCTATAAGCCTCCCGAATAGGAGGGGCGCCGGTATTGAGCCGATCAGTCGTACGGTAAACCACTGGACACCCAATGCCACAGATTTCTGACTTTTCTCAACACATCTATTAATTAAAAAATGAATTTTTGTAAACAAATGCAACAATTAAATCACTACCGGTGCTCAACACATAAACCACCATGCACATATTTAGTTTATATCTAGGTATTAGAAACCCACCTGAGCGTAGCGGTCAGCGCTGGCATTGCACTCATAAATGTAACAAATATGAGACCAAACATCGCCACCAGAAACAGCGGCAATAGGGGACAGGTGTGTGGGCACAGGTGTCGGGCGGCGGCCACCAAACCACCAGTCTTTTGTCCAACACTCACATTACTCTCAGCCCCTGTAGTAACACAATCGCACCGCTCATACGAGTGCCTATTATATGCACTGGTATTTGCCCGTCAATGACAACCAGCATAACACGGGCTATAATACTGAACACCCGTCCCATCGCACACCGGGTCGTATAGCGCTGGCCGACAGCCGCAGCCCTCATTGCACTTCTCTACTAATCCATATGGATTACTGTGGCTCCCATACAGCCTACCGGTGCTTCCATTACCATAGGGTGTATTTACTCCGGCAAACACCGGCTCCGGGCACGAGATGGCAAATCCAAAGCCCAGTGCGAGAGACAGGGCTGACATTGCCATTGAAAACCTCATGATAGCCGGTATTGACATATCGTAGCGTTTAATAGCGAAACTGCCGGCAATATTGCCGCCACCGGCGCCCGAAAGGCCAATCACACCGGCAGCCAATGCCGACACTCCGGCCCCCACCCGGAACTGTTGCTCCACAATCTTTGGCCCGAATGCGGCCAAACCGGTGACCACCAGACAGTCGCTGGCGATGGTTACGCACACATAGGGCCAGTTGCGGGCCAATCGCCAGAATGATGTGGTCGACTGGTCTTTCACCACAACCACCTCCTCTTCAACGGCCACCCATTCGCCCACTACTTGTCCATCGGTTGGGCACTTGTTATCGGATCCCTTGTCCGAGCCGTACGTTTCGGACACTTCATTGTCGTTGAGGTCGTGGAAAGTGGACAGTCGTGCGGGCAGTCCGGCCACTGGTATGACGAGTAGTGCTGAGGCGAGTGATGCGACCATAAAGCCCAACCACCACCGGCCCACCCATAAGCCGCTATCGTCGGGTGTAATGATCAATAGGTGAGGGTTAATACCGGTGTCCACGTAGTGCTGCAGTAATTGGCCGCCTATGTTATAGCACGGGTCAAATAAAGCTAATTAGATTAACTAATCTAATCAATTATTGCATTTAATTTTAGATTATAACGACATGTATTTAATTTCAGTTTATTTATAAAATGCGATTAACACATAAAATATATAATTTCTTAAATTTAGTTTTATTTAAATTAACGTTAAATTTTTATTTATTTAAATATTAAAAAATTTAAATTTAAATGTGAATAATTAGTTTTAAAAAAATTTACAGATTATGACTGAATACCAAAAGGCATTCATTTTTATAATAAAATTCACATACATTTTTCTAAACAGTAAGAGTTGTGGAAACTTTATGCAAATTTGTGCATAACGTGTCGTTAAATTTTCCACATTTAATAGTATTGTGTAGTAATATTATTATACATGTATATAAAACAGCATTAATTTTTCTAATAAATTGACACAAAATTTTTAAGTTATTAAACACATTGTGTGTCTTTTATATGAAGTGATCTCTAATTTATAGACTAATTAATTACTGATTTAAATAATTGATTTACAATTGATTTTGGCTCATATTTCAAACAATTATTTCATAATTCAAATTATATTTTTGATTGTATAAATTTATTTAGATTTCATTTAATTATTTATTAATTGAGTTATGGACACCATTTATGTAATAATTTTATTATTTGTCATCAAAGGGTGGTTTCTTTGTAAGTATTATTCAATTAATTAATTTGTATTTTTATTAACCCCAATTCAGCTATCATTCATAGCCTATGAATAATGTGATTTATAGGTTTGTTACGCCCCCTCTTTCTCCGCCCCGCCCTCCCCCGCTTTTTGGGATATAACATGAGATTACAGCTTAAGTCTATGGCTATACTTTAGCATGGAGAATCTTTCATAGGTTTAACATGGGGACGCGTTAACATCAGTTTCTATGGGATTACAGCTTAAGTCTATGACATAAGATTAGCATGGGTAATTCTAAGTCTATGAACAATGTTAAGTCTATGAATAATGTTAAATCTATGGCAATGCTTAGTCTATGGCATAGATACTCACAGACATGTTTTCAGTAGACGTAATTGTTGTATAATCAGTGTATCTAATATCTGAATAGTATTAGTGAATACAATGTCGTACATAAATGATATGACAGATTTGCCCCAATTTTTGCTCCTGAGAGCATTCGTGGTCTATGGTCGTTATGGGCACTAATGCTAATCCTATGGACTTATTAAATTTGTAAATAATGCTAATACATTCTTTGAGCACTACTCGAATTGTGGTTAACGTATAGCATCGCTATATGAGCCTTGTTTCTCAATTTGTAATAAATATTAATATTGTTTATATTTTAATTATAGATTTAACTGAATTTGTGATTGAAATGAAGAGAAGAAGAGATGCTCTCAGAAGGGATCAAACGCGGAGACAATCGATGGACAGATTTTTAGGCGACGATGATTTGTGTTTTTTGTCTCAATTGTTGTCATATTTGTCACTCAAAGAGCGGTTCCGATATGAATGTGTGTCAAAACAGTGGCAGAGAGTGGTATACGAGACGCAAAATGAGATCCCAATGGAAATAACTCGTGAAATAAGTGACAAAACATTTGGGAAAATATTACAAAAGTGTAAAAACATCACAACTATTGAAGGCATTAAATCGAGGACTAATCTGAAGGCGATCACCAAATACTGCCCTAAATTGCATTCAATTACTAGTTTTGGTCACTTTTTGGAAGAAAATGACATAATATTTATGAATTTTTTAACTAAATTTGCCAAACAGTTGAAATTCATTTCAATATCTAATTCATTGCCTGTATTGAGTGATAACGAAAATGAGTTTATATATAAGAAATTACAAAAAGTAAGCTTTGAGTACAAGAGTGAAAATAGGGATAATTTCGATGCATTTGTGAAAATATATGGCAAACAATTGAAATCAGTTGAAGTCTCGATGGATGTGGGGTTATCTCACACTCCCATACTAATGAATGGTTTGTCACAAATGACACAATTAACTCATCTCAAACTTCTCTCCTATACAACGCCAGGCGTTATATCTTGTATTGAATTAAAACAATTGGGTATTAAATGCCGTAAACTCAAGAGACTATCACTTGAATTTAATTTGAATTTAAGCGATAATTTATATGGATTAATTCAAACAATTAATGATTACTTCAGGCAAATAAAGCGTTTAGAACTGATTGCAAATGGTTTTGCCCAAGAGTTTTTTGTGATTAGCGAATGGTTGGCTAAATGTAAACAATTAACACATTTAACGATTATTTATTCCAATGATTTTGTTCTTAAACAAATGTTTTTTTACAAAATTGACAAATATTTGCCGAGACTTCAATATTTATGTGTTAAATGCGAAAATATCACTAATTATATATTGACTTCATTGTCATTATTGCCAAAAATACAGACCATTGAACTCTATGGAAACGGAGACTCCATCACCGAAACGGCTATCAAACCTCTCAACGATTGGGATTCAAAGAAAATTAATGCCGTTTTTATTAATGACACAAATATTTTCGCAAACAGTAATAACAATTATTATACTCAAGCATTATTATATTATCTGTATACTTTATTGTTGGTTGTTTTTTGTTTCGATATCTGGCTAATACATACTCTTATCTCAAGCAACTTATGATGTACTTTATCGTTGAAATACAATCGTCCATGTTTTAATATTTAATTATATTATATGTAAAATTATAATGAGTTTTGTTGTAATCACTTAATATTTATGAATATAATAGAAAAGTGTTTTAAATTTTAAGTAGTGTACTAAAGAGAGCAAAATTATTGAAATGTCTTAATTATTATTAATATTTTGTGTTTTATATAGTTGTATGAAATCTAAGGAAAAGTGTTTTAAATTACATGTAATTTTTGCAGTAAAACTTGTTTATTATATATCTAAAAAACATTGTAAAATTTAAATATTATTATTTCTATTAGAAAATTTTATGTAAAAAATGATTTGAATTAATGAAAGTTTTGTTTGTCATAAATAGTGTTTAAAAGAGATATTATTAATGAAAATATAGTACAATTATATAGCCGTTATTGTTTGCATTGATTTCAGTGTGTTTTGCAATAAAATAAATAGTTTTTATATCATTTGTTTTGACATTAATTTCATTTACGTTTAATTATTTACAAAAATTATATTTAAAGTCTATGAGTTAGTTTATACTTAAAATAACAATGCAATTTAATCTAAAGACCTAGTGTATATTACAACAATAAGTTAAATATATTTAGTATACCAACAATAAAACTAAAATAATTACAATTAGTTTGTAATTAATATATTTTTCTGTAATTAATATAAACGCCAATAATTTTCGCTGATTTCCAATCGTTGAGAGGTTTGACATCTGTTTCGGTGTAGTCTTCGTCGCCCCAGAGTTTAATGGTCTGTATTTCAGACAATAATGACAATGAATTCAATATATTTGCTGTGATTTCCTCGCCATCAATAGACAAATATTGAAGTTTCGGCAAATTATTGGATATTTTGTTAAAAAACAATTCATTAACGACGAGATCTTCTGAACAATAAACTGTTAAATGTGTTAATTGTTTGCATTTATTTAACGATTCACTCATTAATACAAATTTTGTTTGAAACCAACCCCTGATTTGCAAACGTTTTAAATTATTAAAGCATTCATTAATTGTTTGTATGATTTGAGCAAAACTTTTATCCAAAACCACTCTTACAGTAAGTGATAATCTCTTGAGTTGACGACAATTAATACCCAACGGTTTCATTTGCTCCGCAATTAAAGCATTCATTAATTGACTTTCAATAACGTAACTAATCTTGAGATCAACTAATGCCCGCATTTGTGACAAACCATTCATTAATGTTTGGATTGATTTCTGGTCGTTATGAATGTAATTAAAGTCCACATCAATTGATTTCAAACTATTTTTATAGTTTTCCACAAAATGCTTAAAATTATACATATTTTCAGACATGTATTGAAAATAAATTGTGTGTAATTTTGGGAACAAAACTTTATTTTCGTCGCTTTTGGAACCAAATAATTGGTTAAACATATAGTCATCAAACTGTATGTCTAATTGCGTTAATTTTGAGCAAAACTCGGCATTTGTTTCAATGAACTGAAGAATAGGCGTTAAACTCGAAAGCTTTGCGCGAATTGTCTTTAGTTTTGTGGCAAATGTCGGACAAATGTCATCAAAACATACGGTTTGGGCACAACCATTGCCCAAATACATGTCATTTAAATGAATGCAATGTTTTATAATTAGGTCAAACATTGATTGATTGCATACAATCTTTAAGTCAAGTCTTGAGATGTTTTTATACTTTTTTACTAATAATTCAAACCAATTGTCGTTTTTAGAGATATTTAGAGTTCGTTTCAAAATATCGTTTACTATAAGCTCTGTTTGTGTCTCATATATAACTCTCTGCCACTGTTTGGACACCTCTTCGTATCGGAACCGCTCTTTGATCGGCAAATAAGACAACAATAGTTGACACAAATCATCACCAAATCTGTCCATTGAGTGTTTGGCATAATTAGTTTTATTGTTGTCACTCATAATCACTGAATCACTTCCCAACTCAATAATCAACAGTAAATTAAACTTTATTTTTAGCAATAAAACAATATTGAAAACTGTTTGCATATTTATAGCAATTCTTTAACACAAAATCAGTCATTGATATCAATGTAATGGAACCTAAATTAATCACTAGTTATAATCTTGTTTAAATATATTCTAAAATTACTTTGATATTAAGAGCAAATATGACCTTTTATATATTATCTACTTAGACCATGATCATTATCTTTGTGATAACATGTTTATTCTTTTATTTAAAATATAATAAGTTATAAAATATTTAATTTTGTTTGATATTTAATTCAAACAGCGAGAGCCCAAAAGTGATAAAAGGAAAATAATTTGTTGTCAATCACTTTATTTCGACAATTAATACCTAATATTATATACTGTTCTCACAATAAAATCAAACATTAAATGCAGATTTTTTTGCATTCAATTGTTGTCTATATTCATCACTAAATCACTTCTTGTGATTATTCTTCCACTTCTTATGAGACAAAAGTTTGCTTTGAAATCTTTAGGCATATATTAAACCATTAAAACATAACAACAGAAGAAATATTTTTGTAAAATAATTATTAATTTAATAAATGCATGAAACAATTGAATGATTTAAATGTTTAAAATAAATGATTTATTATTACTAACTTTATAATGCCCATTTAATCACTTTATTTTTATGTTAATTAGTTTGAATTAATTTGTGCTTATAATAAAAATTGTTATCCTTTTTATAAAAGTTTATTATTTAAGTTACATTAATATGATATTAAATCTCTTACAAATTAATATGATAATTAACAAGTTATCTAGATAATTAATAAAAAAAATCATTTTTAAATAAATATACTAATTTATAAATACATTAAGTGAGAAAACTTTACATTGATTTACTTTCACAATTGTCAGGGTTTTCAATAAAAAGCATTCCCACTAAAAACAGCCGACAATTCCCACAATAAATCATTCATTTGTGTGAGGGATGGACTGAATTGACCGCCGGTTTGTACAGTTGTTTTCCCGCCACGACTGCCGCTAAGGTCACGCATTTGCATAATATGGTCAGTATTAGCACATTATATGCCATTTGCCGGTTGTCGTACACCAGACACGCGCCCGTTGTGTCCGCCCCGGGAGTGCCGGTGGTAGTGGTGGGGCTCTGGGGCTGCCATAGTATACAACTGTGATCTATAAGCCTCCCGAATAGGAGGGGCGCCGGTATTGAGCCGATCAGTCGTACGATAAACCACTGGACACCTAATGCCACAGATTTCTGACTTTTCTCAACACATCTGTTGAATAAAAAATGAATTTTTGTAAACAATTTTAACAATTAAATTACTACCGGTGCTCAACACATAAACCACCAAGCACATATTTAGTTTATATCTAGGTATTAAAAACCCACCTGAGCGTAGCGGTCAGTGCTGGCATTGCACTTATAAATGTAACAAATATGAGACCAAACATCACCACTAGAAACAGCGGCAATAGGGGACAGGTGTGTGGGCACAGGTGTCGGGCGGCGGCCACCAAACCATCAGTCTTTTGTCCAACACTCACATTACTCTCAGCCCCTGTAGTAACACAATCGCACCGGACATACGAGTGCCTATTATATGCACTGGTATTTGCTCGTCGATGACAACCGGCATAACACGGGCTATAATACTGAACACCCGTCCCGTCGCACACCGGGTCGTACAGCGCGGGCCGACAGCCGCAGCCCTCATTGCACTTCTCTACTAATCCATATGGATTACTGTTACTCCCATACGGCCTACCGGTGCTCCCATTACCATAGGGTGTATTTACTCCGGCAAATACCGGCTCCGGGCACGAGATGGCAAATCCAAAGCCCAGTGCCAGAGACAGGG